AAACCACCAAACTGCTATAGCACCAGCTAAACTGACAATTCTCAAATAGATTTTTCAAAAGTCAGCCCTCCATCACATGGAAGAGGAGAAAAGTGCATGGCTTTGGGCAGAGAGTTGTGAGAGATGCTGAGATGGAGTCAGCAGCAGGGAGGAGAAATGTACAGTTTTCACTGGTGCTTTCAACAGGTTGCCCTAGATGCAAAACAAAACCTGCCAAGACTTTCTCCACTGGCATTAAGGGTTTCAACTTTAGGAAAATATTATAATGGCTGTCTCACAGATATGTAGAGCTGACCCAGCAGCACACAGCCAGTAAACTCATTACAGGGTTGGTGGCAAGCCATAAGACATATGGGCCTAGCAGTGAGGCTGTCATGGTTCCTCGGCAGCAGAGCAGGTAAACTTGTTAACTTTGACATCCGCATGACCCCAGAGAAGAGGAGAGGGATGAAAAAGAGTCACAGATTCTGGTAAGACATCACTTACAAGGTCATAGCAGGACAGAGAAGGCTCTCCAACGCTCTGTTTTCAGTGCTAATTAAAATAGGCCCAGGTTCTATAAGGCCAAAAGCCTGCCTGTATGCCTTCTGGTTGTTCTTAAATTAGACAAGTGAGGATTCAACTGAGACTGAAAGAGATTGCATTAGGCAGCGCAGCACATTAGAAGAGCTGTGAAGCAGAAGCTAAAACAGGCACATAAAGGTCGCTCCAACAATTGGAATTACTGTAGCCTGTTTACATTATTTATTGGACAGATAACTACTGTAGCCTTTAGTAGTAGAGGTGCACCCATTTATTGTCCGTACATTGGTATCGGCCAACGTCCGCCTTGTTCTGCAAATGAGAAGACATTCACCAATGTCAGTGTCCGATGTTTATCTGTTGCGTCAACTTTTCGCTGATTAAATGTTGTGTTTGTTATTTTCAACTCGAATATTGGAGAAATATTCACCTCCATTTTCCAGCACTGTCAGAAATTCCATGCAGCAGCAGGGACAGTGAGCGGCTGTTCAGCTCTGCGTCTCAAATCTCGGATAAGAAGAAAAACAGACCAAGCTGCGACAGGGCAGAGATGCTTATCTTTGTAGCTTTCTTTGTTTTCCTGGCACAAAAGGGCGAATAAATAACAACAAAAAGACATCAAGAATCCAAATAGTTTTTTTAACATCAACATGGGCCCAGGAGGTCACAACTGGTGCATCCCTATTTAGCTAACAATGACATGTGGGCCTGCAGAAACAAGACGGTTGTTCGTGACTGGGGAGCAGGAATTTAACTTTCCATTTTATTGTGTCCATTTCCTCTTGGTGAAGTTAATGTAAGAATTTACAGCTCCCATGAGAACAAATTCCTTCATCAGGATCAAAGGTGAGGCTCAGCAACAGATAAGTACACCAAGAATCTGTCTTTGTCGAACAGCATTGGATAACTGCCACCACGAGGGTTTGAATGTGGACAGGAAATGTGGGGATGTCCTTCCCACTGGTCTATACGATGCAGCTTTGCCTTCTTGCAATGCAATTGGAAAGCTTTTCGTGGATTTACTGCCTCCATGAGCAAATCCACTGATCTCTGTTCAGATTAAATGAATTTGCTACAAAATGTTGCTGTCACAAATGCTGATGTGAACATTGTGTAACTACTGTATCACAGCCCTCCTGGAAGTTTAGGGGGTGAAGAGTTGGAGAGTAGAGTTAGAGAGCCTGTTCTGCTTTAGATTTGAAACTTTACTCACACCCAGATCATCAAACCCTTTACAGAGAAGGACATGCATTAAGCCTGCTGCCAGGGGTTTAAAGCTCCCCCTGCCAATGGCAGGCCTGCTGATAGATAGTGTCAGGTCATGCCCACAATAAGCTGGCTAAATTTGAAAATGCACCTTTTCTTTCTTTTCAAAATCATTCTTGCACGTAGCTGTGAAGCAGTAATGATAAGAACCAGTGTCACCTGTGATTAGGTCTGTAGTGGCTCATTTTGAATGCCACAATAGAGCAATTCCATAATACAGATTGCATTATAAACTTGGTTTTATTAACCTGTGTCGTACACCAGAACAAACATTGTTGGTTGCCCTGGTACTTATTCTGTTGTCTTGCAACAGAAGCAGAATAATGTCACCAAGACCAGACCAAAGCTTCTTGACCTTGGAATCATTATCTCATGTGATAAAATAATATCAAAGTCCACTTCATATTGTTTTCTGAGCATTTATAACATAAATGTAATGCAGTGGGCATTAAGCAAGAACCACCCGTACAAACACTGCACAATTAAACGCAATATGGCCAAGTGCAATATCCAAATGGCACAAGCTTTTTGAATTTTTGGTTTTTACTATGAAGCCCTCGTCCAGACCTGTCGTTAGGAGGAGTTAACAGCTTAATCTGAACTTGGAGTTTAAACGTGATGCTGAAATTAACTAAAACAATATATATGACTAAAACAGATAAATAAATAAATATTCAGTTCACCATATATTCATAGCTTCATTTTCATTGGTATAGTGGCACAGGACTCCACACAGTCCAGTAGTTATCAGGACAGTTCTCTCACTCTGACAGCTGCCTTGGGCTCTTTACGCAGGTCGCTGTCCAGGATCACCCTTTGCTGCACCGACAGTGTCACTTTACCTTCTGTAGGCTAGAATACTGCCTTACCCTTCAATAGTGATAGACCACTTTGGACACCTTTTAGCATCTAACTTGATGTCACTTCATGTCACACAGAACAGAGCGGTACTGCACAGCTTGTTACAAGCTGCAAGCCTGTCGTCGGCCCAGCACTAAAAAGAATGTGTCTGACGATTTGGTTTAAGCCTAATCTTGAACCTGATGTAAACCAGTCCTGTGTGCAAATGGGCCCCTGCCTTTACTGTGAACATGTCTGGCTCACACCCCCACTCCACCCCGTCTCTGACAGACACATCAGCCAATTGTCAACAGCTGATGTGTCCTTTTCCCAGTGCATCCATCAGCATGCACACACACACACACACACACACAAAAAACAACACTGGTACTCAAAGGGATTTGTGAAAATTCACGAGAAGACCCCGGGCTAACGTCTCAATAATCTCTCACACAGATCTATAAAAAGACATGACTGTTAGCAATATGCCTATGACTGCTTCTGCCTGTGAAGAGGAAGCTTGTTGTCACATTACACATAGTGACCACCATCCAGGTTTAACCAAGGCCAAATAAAAGCAGAGGAGATCATAACAATTCATCCAAAACACTCAACAAACAGTCTGTTGATTGTGTGCCTTGCGTTTAACAGCATGCCATATAAAAGACCAGATGTGGGTAACCTCACTTGGGTCCAACTGTACAACAAACAAGCATTGAACACATCACAACTTAAGGATTTCTTGTGAATCCTGACATTCACCTGAAAACGACACATTCAAAGTAAAATCCTGATAAAACACTGAACTGCCCTACATGCCATTGCTAATAAGGAAGTGTGTCACTTTCTGTTCCCTCTTCAGGTTGCACGGTGAAAAGGTTGCACAGAAGCCTACTAGATATGGGTGAGGTGAATAAGCCCTGTGCCCTTTGAACAAAACCATGTCAGCTGCGAAACACAAGTATGCCACTGAAACTCTCGAGACAGAGACTCACTCACAAACCATCCCCACAGCATCATCCCTTCTCTGCACCTCTGGGTGGAAAGAGATTAAGGCGATTAGAATGATATGCAGGTGCAATGTCATAACACGGGATTAAACGCTTCCTTAAAACAAATCTTCACAAATGACACAGTTTTCGCGGTGTTTTTTTTTTTCTTTTTTTCCCGGGCTCTGCTGCCTCTCACTCATGCGCTCTACACACGAGAGATGACATCATGTTGGGTCAGCTTGGGTTTTGGTGCTCAGCTTGCTATCCGCATCTGCCATTTCGAGCGCGTCATGTCAGCCTACATTTACTTTTACCGCTGGTTATTTAACCGAGCACCGTCCCTGCGTGCAAGTGACGAGCTCCTGTGAAAGCATCCACGCCAGAAATGACTTGTAATATAAAAAAAATAAAATAAAAAAAAAGATGAATGACGTGCGTGTTGTGGCGTTTGCGTTAAACGTATGCAAGTGTTTAAAAAATAAAATAATCGAAATCCTATGAGCAAAAGTGTGAAGGGTGCAGACATTGCTCGGTTGGCTGACAAGTGCAGGGGAGACGTAGTAAAAATGTGGTTCGGGGTCATGTGTCGTGGACGTTGCACCGTCTCCACCGAGAGCCATTGTGACTGTGCGTTGATAGTAAAATCTCACTCACAACAATGTAGGAGGCAATGGAAGGTACCACCGTCGTTTTGGATGTGACAGACTCACGCATACTGGCCCACATTGCGTGACAATGCTAAAATAACACCAAGGACAAGTTTACACCGCGTCCAGCCGCCTCGTCGGCTTTCAAACCCCTCTCCTCCTCAAATTGTACACTTCATTACAACCTGTCACCCGTTTTTGCTCTCCGTACTCACCCCCTGAGGGACAAACCAAACAGCAAAGCGTCTTCCACCGTCAGTCCCAAAACGTAAGTCTCCAACATTTTCAGCGGAGATTTGAAGCAGGTGCAAAAACGCATCAATCAACAAATATGCACTTCGCTCAAGACCCTTAAAAAGCAAACCTACGCACTTAACCCCGGCGAGCTGCGGCTGCTGTCTGTACTCTGTACTCACCCCCTCTGAGCGGAGTGGCGCTGAAACAAACACGCCGAACAACGTCGAAAACCAGGCGGCCGTGGTCGTTTACAACTTCGGGTGCAACCTACGAGCACTACCACTCGTCCACATCCACTTTTACTGCTTTAGACGTTTAGCTCCAGTAGCTTTTAGCCGCCGAGACAAGAGGAAGTGTCATCTCAGTTTGAGAGCGCGAGGCTAGCACGAGCTGTTAACCGTTCAAAGGGGGGGGTGGGGGGACAGTGACAGCGACAGCGACACAACAAGAGAAAACAACAACAACAACAACAACAGAGAGAGAAAACAACACTCACCTGTAGGAAAGAGTCGTCGTTGTTGAGGCGCACACTCACTCAAGGGCTTTGAGTCGGACTTTCTGTCAGTCGGTGAGGACTTCCTGAATGACGGAGCAGCACGAGCTCAACCCCTCGCTCGTGTCTGACAGTTAGTTTGACAGACAGCCGGAAATAAAGTTGTCTCGTGCTAGTCGACGGTGGAGGGTCTCCAGGTGTGTTTTGTACTGAGTGAAACACCGACGGCGGGTCGGTTTGCAAGTATCTTGTGCTCCGTTGGTTTACCCACATCAAATGCAGAAATAAATACTCTGCATCAAATGTCTCCTCCGTAATTCTTCTTCTTCTTCTTCCTTCACACAAGTACCGCCAGCGACCGACACTGCTACACCTTATTTCCTTTGCGAGTCATTAAAGATGCATGGACTGAGTCATCCCGATTCTGTTGCAACTTCAGTGTTGGTGAGCCACTTCGTCACCTGAATGTACTCAGTACAATGCTGCCACCTGCTGTTGCACATTTTAACTTCAACTATAACACAAGGCAACGTAAATGTATTTATTTATTTAAAGACCTCATACCTTAAAAACAAGTACAATCATTTACCTTTGTCTTTTGTACAAATGAATACACGTGAACAACCTTATGTGGTTGGAATATCACCCATTTATTTATATATATATATATACACACTTTATGGCATTACAGCTTCTGTGTACATACAAATATTATAAATTCTAATTTGAATCTTCTAGGCAACTGAATTCCTCATTGTGAAATGTAGTCATCACTGTAAACACAACAGAGCTCTGATCTCCTGACAGGCCAAAATGCTTGTTAGAGCATAGCACATGGTGAAGTCTGCAAATGTTTTGTTTTGTCCAAAACCCCAAATCAGTGTTTATTTTTAAGATTGCTCATATAGTAGAGGTAAATCCATTCACCTTCATGTTATCAGCCCAGATGGGTCTTGAACCCAAAATTCCTTGCCCAGTGTTTTTTGCATTACTTAGGAAGCCACAGTGAAAGGGCAATATTTCCATGCTGTAACAATGACTATAATCCTAAAAGGTTTGGTTTCTATGGACAGGAGGATGACAGCAGACAAAAGAGAAAAATATGTTAGTTTCCCAAAATATGTCTTGTTTTGTTCATACAACCCAAAACCCAAAGATATTCAGGTTACTATCACAGATGACTACAAAGTAAATAAGTAATAAGCAAATATTCATTTTCTTTGTAATTTTTGGTATAATTATCAAAATAATTAAGAGACCAATTGATTCATCAAGTAATCCTTGAGGTGGTCCCGACCAAAAGCCCCTCATAATCACAAGGTCAGCAGCAAGAGGCTTATAGAGGTATAGTCCTGGAAAATAATGAAATGTAATTTGTGAACGGGTCAGCTCTGAGCCGGTTCCTTTAATTGAACGTTGGGTCTTTGCACCTGATAACCAATTTAATTTTCTGTTCTTTTTTTAATATAAATGAATACAAGACAGAATAATAGGATTACGTATATTTATTAAACACAATCTTTGGTAATAACATTAAGACCCAAGCATGCTTGTATGTTGACACTGGTCGTCAACATAAATAATACAAAACAATATACATAAAACTCTCAATACAAGTGTGTAATAGTGTTAGCATTATGTAAAATTGTGGTTTTCTGGAAATTATATGGTTTAGTATAATTACATTGAATAATTTATAAGCACAGGTCATAGGTCAAAATGTTGGGTATTGTTATAAAAGCCAGAAGTGGTAGGCTACTAAATGAAGAGCCACTTGAGAACCTTTTTGCTGAGATGAGCCAAATGATCTGGCTCACTAGAAAGAGCCAGAATTCCCATCACTACTGGAAATCCTGAGGAGGCCTATGGGGCTCATGGTGTCTATCTGGAAGTGTACAGAAGGTCTACACTGGAAACTATTCTAGCTTTCAAATTTAAAAGCCTGCTAACACTGTTTGATGTGTTTTATTTACAACTGTACCTCTGGCTCGCTACAAAGCATTATTGATACTAAGTCAAACCAACTTC